ACACACACAACAGGCCTAGTGTCTAATCGACATGTGCCTAGGACAAAATGGTAACTAACACACACACACACACACACAAAACACACAACACACACACACACACACACACACACACACACACACACACACACACACAACACAACACTACACATACACACACACACAACACACACACACACACACACACACACACACACACACACACACACACACACACACACACACACACACGTGCACGTACGCATGCACACACGCATGCACGCACGTATATACAACAGGCCTAGTGTCTAATCGACATGTGCCTAGGACAAAATGGTAACTAACACACATACACATGAGTTTCTTGTGTAATCACCAGTGGGTTACAATGCTGATAATTTCACCACTGTTCTTAAGAGTTTTTCATGTGTATCATCCATGTTATATGGATGATAATATATAAAAAAATACATAAGAATTTCAAGGAGCAACATCAACCACAGTGGGTTATCTTACAAGATCTTTGTATTGCCAGAAAATCCTCATATGTACGTATAACATTCAATATCTTACATCTAAAGACTTTGGTAAATGCTTAGTATGGTACGTCCCTATAATTTAAAGTTGAAATAAAATACTTGTGCCATTGAGTTGGTAGTACTGTAGCACACAGACACAATAACATTAGTAATAGGTTAGTAGTCAGAATTAAGTCAAATGACAAGGGGTGTATTTGCTTCCTTGAAAACAATGTCCAGAGAAGGTGTGTAGGGGAGAAACTGGTAGATATTTAAATAAGCATTTATATGAACACAAAAGAGATGATAGAACAGGTAATACTAGAACAGTGCTGTTTTAGGTCATGTGATTACAATACAGATTTCGACACTTGCAAAAGGATGCTCAAATTTGATAATTACATTAAAAAAGTAGTTATATTAAACTTTATTATTTAATTACAAAGTTTAATTTACTTCACTGGAGCTCTAATTTCAACATTATAATTCATGCCCAAGTCAATAAGTACCTCAATAAAAGACTTGATAGATGAGTTTTAACCCTTTGAGGGTTAGGGCAATAGATCTACACCTTGTCCACAGGATCCAAGAATTTTCAAAAAAAAAAATTGTTATTTTTTCCTTATGAAATGGTAGATAATCTCTTTCTGAAGGTAATAAAACAAAAAGTATGAAATTTGATGGAAAATTTATGAAATTACACAATTGCAAATTTTACTGTGCCTGATATTTATGCATTGGCAATTTTGCCCACTTTGACTCCTATTTTAGGCCAGTTACATTAATCCACTAATGTTACTTCTATTTTATCTCTTGAGCACAAGAAACTGCCCAATCAACTATTTCAACTACCCAATAAAGTGATCAGAAATTGGTAATTTGGCCAATTTCACACAAAGTTCAGAATATTCCATTTTTTAAAACAGGGTCCAGAATAAACAATGCAGGCATTCCTGGCACTAAAATAACATTTTCTCTGTTTATTAGTTTTGTTTCCAGGCTTTACACATTAATTCCAATTTTATTTTCTGTTTACATAAAGAATTTTTATTCACACCAAAAAATAGAAGATTTACTGTAATGCAATATTGTAATAATTGTATAAATAATATCAGTGCATTCATGAAGGCACATTAGACCCACCATTTGACGTGTATTGGACGCATGACGTCATTTGTTTACTCTTGAACATCAGCAAAAATCGAACATTTCCAGTACTTTGAGCTCAATTTCAAGCTATTTTCCAGTACTAAAACCAATGAAAATCATCTCTATTTCTGTAATATATCTTCCATTCTATCAACTGAGACCAAGAAACCGTGAATACAACCATAAAAAAATATGAAAATACACTGAGAACTCAGTGTTTTAATCCAAAAATATGGTCGCAGTTTTTTCTCATTATGCATCGTGTGCTGCAGGATTTGTTTTATATGGTGCACATTTACCACATAGATCCATCTCTCATAACTAAGCCCAAAGTTACCATCACAGCTTATCTTGGTGAACTGAGCTCATGGCGTAGAACTACGGCTTGGACCTTATAGACAAGGTGTAGATCTATGGCCTGGACCCTGAAAGGGTTAAATAATGGGTGTTGAGAACAATAGGTTAAATTTGTCATGTTCAGATGAATAGAGTTAAGGTGATGAGGCTTGGTGGTGATGTTTAACTCATTTATTGCTTATTTCACTTGAAATGACTGAGTGATATGACGTAATGATACTGTTTCTTTATCTTTGTTAACTCTTTCAGTGTCAAGACCCCTGCTCTCAGACTTCTTGCTCTTAAGGTCAGAGAATTAAAAAAAAATTATTTTATCTTAGGAAATGATGGAAAAACTTTTTCTGAAGGTAATGTAACCAAAAGTATGAAATTTGATAGAAAACATGGAATTATGCTCTTGGAAAGTTAGCGGTCTCAGTGATATTTACGCATCAGCAATTTCGCCCAATTTGCACTCTATTTTTTGCCATTTCCATTGTTCCAGTCCACCAAACTCATAGTTGTTTCACTAGTATTCCTTCTATTCTATCGATTGAGTACAAGAAACCACTCATTTACCTATTTCAGCTATCCATTAATGCAATCAGAAATCGGAATTTGGCCAGTTTCTTGTAAAATTCAACAATTGCCAATACGGAAATAGGGTCCAGAATAAACAATGTAGACATTCCTGGCATTAAATAAACATTTCCTCTGCTCCTTTGTCATGTCTCCAGGTCATATTATGCTTGCTTCTCATTTAGAATTTTTATTCACACAAAAAATAGAAAATTTACTTTTATGCAGACTACTGCATTATTGTAATAATTGTATAGTGTCAATGCACTCCTAAATGCATATTAGACTGGCCAGTTGGACGTGTACTCTGGAATATCGGGAAAAATTGAGCATGTCCACTTCTTTGGCTCAATTTCAAGCTACTTTCGGTTTTGAAACTAATCAAAATCATCCCTGTTTCTGTAATATATCTTCCATTTTATCAAATGAGACCAATAAACTGAGAATACACCCATAAAAGCCATACGAAAATACACTGCAAAGTCTCTGTTTTAAATCAAATACACTCTCGCAGTTTTTTCTCATTATGCACTGTGTGCTGCAGGATTTTTTTTATATGGTGCACACTTACTGCATAGACCCATTCTCTCATATCTAGGCCCAGATTTACCACCCACAGCTTATCTAGGTGAGCTGAACTCATGGCATCATACTACAGAATCGACACTGCTTTCAGAGCCATGATACAATAGGACCAACACCAAGAGGGTTAAACAACAGTTTACTCTCATAAATATAGTGTATGTATGCACTCACACACACACACACACACACACACACACACACACACACACACACACACACACACACACAACACACAAAAAACCGCACACCCACCACACACACACACACACACACATACACACACATACACACACATACACACACATACACACACATATGCACACATGCACACACACAGTCACTCTTACTCTCTCACTCTCTGTATGTATATACATATATAGTTGTGTGTGTGTGTGTGTGTGTATGTGTGGGTGTGTATATGCATGTGTGCACGCATGTTTGTGAATGTGTGTGCATGCATGCTCACCTATATGTGGTTGCAGGGGTTGAGTGCAGGTGTCTGTGTGTAATGTGTATATGTATGTTTGTAAAGTGTATTTGTCAAGGGGGTAGGGCATACAATTTCATCAGAACTTAATGATTTCTGATGGTATTTACTCTTGTAATCTTTGCTCTTCGGATAATTCTTGAAAACTTTGGTGATGGTGGATTTAATTCAGATGGTGATAGCAGTGAAGTGAGTAGAGACAGGCTACAAGGGCTCATTTCTCTCATTACAGGGCTTGCTGCCCCTCCACCGGCGTGAGTACCGTGTGGGCTTTCCTGCCGTTTCTGGTGTAGACCCACAATACCGCTGCTGCTGGTGCGGTAAGGCCTCCACTACTCGCTATGATTATGATAAACATCTCAGAACCCATACTGGTGAAAAGCCTTTTGTCTGCCCCATTTGTCCTTTTCGAACAGGGGACCGTTCAAGTCTCTCGAAGCATGTCCGTCGACATCACCAGCTTAATCCCTCTTCAGGGCCAGGCCACTCGCTTCCACATCATCATTAAGATCTCATAGTATGAATAACCTACATTAGTATTAAAGAGGTTGCTACTTTGTTGTTAGTCTCAAGTCTCCTGGTAGTGAATGGCAGTCTTTATTTTCTTCTGGTGTTTCATAGTATGGAGCATAACTGTTTTTGTGTGTTCCTCACTGCTGAATTGCATCTATGGAGTGGTCTGTGATGGCACAACTCTGACTATGTGCATCTTCACTCATTTGCAGTCATTGACCAAAATTCCAAAAAGCTGTTTTACAAGGACTTTTCTCAGCCTCTTATTGAGTTTTCAAGAGTCCGTGTCCTCTGTTTCAGGCCGGGGGCAGCCTGGACGTAGGAAGGGACTTTAGGGGAGGCGCGAACCCAATGTATGTGGTAGAAGGCGTTGAAGTGCTGCCTTGTCCGCTGTGTGGTCGGCTACTACACACTCGTTCAAGGTTCAGAAGTCACCTTGAATATTGTCGGCGTGCTGCCAACCCTCAGTTTGCCTGCCAGACCTGCCACAAGTCCTTCGCATATCGTAAGGACTTAGAAAAACATGTACGCACACACACAGGTGAAAGACCATATCCATGCCATTATTGTACATACCGATTTGCTGACCGTAGCAGTCTTGTGAAGCATCGACGGCGACACCACCCAGCAGCTTCAACCTGAGGACAGTTGAGTACTATGGGAAAACTGAAAGAGCGCCATTTTATGGCATACACCACATCAGAATTCAGTAATACTGTATTTTTTATATTTAATGGACAGAAGACACAGAAGTTATCAGTTGCTTTTAGTGGCCAAGTACAGTACAGTATATAGAAAAGAATGATATTGGCCAAGATACCCCAATGATAAGATACCTGTCTATCTCCTTGCAGGATGGCTCTGTGGCGGGTACAGGAATGGCTCACGACCATACTCGGCACAACTCACAGGGCATCGGGGAAATAGGGCACTATATATCTTTATGCGGGGATGATCGACTTCAAGCTGATCGATTAAAAAGGACATGGTCTGGAATACATTATGAAACAGCTCCAGCCTCATCTAGTTCAATGTTAATGCAAACAGTGCAACAAAGTACTCATCTAATAGCTGCAAATGAGTGGGTATGTCCACAATGCTTAAAAATACTAATGAATGAACGTAGTTACAAAAGACACTTAGATTATCACCGTCAAGCATCTAATCCACAACACAGATGCATCCACTGTGGCAAACGTTTTACTTTTGCAGCCGACCTACAGAAACATCTAAGGACTCACACTGGAGAAAAGCCTTTCAAGTGTTCTCGTTGTTCTTACCGAACTGGGGATCGTAGCCATTTAGCCCGACATGTTCGAGCACCACATCGAGATGAGCACACTGCAGAACAAAACCAAGAACAAGCACAATATATTTTTAGTAATACACAGGAAAGAAATTAAAATTGTTTCTTTCACTATTCCACTACTGTATTGTCATGTATAGACATTTTGATGGTTTTGCTTATTACTTTATATATTAGCTAGGGTTGTTTTAAAAATGAAATTACAAAGCAGTACTTTCATTTATATATGTTCTTATTGTTTTACTTTTACACTGATGGGGAATATAACAATAACATATAAAGAATTCAGAAGAATTATCGTCTCTACCTTCTAGTTATTTAAGATTATAAAACCAATAGCTCCAAATTTGTGTACTGTATATGGCAATAACAAAAGAATTAATCGTAATTTTAAATAGTGTGTTAGACATTTGAAATACTGTATTGAGAAATGAGCAGAGCTTTCTTGTGATCATATGTGTTAGTGTCAGGATTCACCCAAGGAAAGTTTATTAATACAGAGGAAATATTTGCCATATTTGTTCAGTGCCAGACTCAGGTCCTTAATTGTTCATGCAGATATAGGAGTTAAATATTTATGTGCTGACAGACGTATTTACAGCATACATAATTGAAAAGGATCATTTAATGTATTTGCGTCTTCTGAGGTGTCACTCATTCTTATTGTATTTAGCATCCATGTGTTGACTTAGGCAAGTAAAATGTCTTGATACTTGTACAGTATGTTGTTATTGAATACCATTTGAAATATTGCATTAAAAATCATCGTGTTTTATATTCTAAAGGAATAAATACATTTGACCTTTTTTGAAAATTGCTATGTCAGAAAATAACTTCATTTGCTACTATCTTGAATATAAAATAAAAACTTTATTGAATTGTACATTGATAAATGATTGTAAATATATGAAATATATATTCATAATGAAATTAAGTTTTTTCATTTTATTCCTTTACTAATGATGTTGGTGATGACCTTGTGGGTCTAAATAAAGATGTTTTGCAGTATTTTTTTTTTTTGTGTATGAGAGAAAGAGTGAACGATAGAGAGCATGAGTGAGAGAAATAGATAAACTATCTGTTTGTAAGTACTGAAGCAGAGCTAAGCTTGCAGTCCCCATCTTTGATAATTAATTTAATATATGGAGTAGAACCCCCGTTTCCACTGATTTGGTATCTGCTGTTTCAGTTATCCATGGTTTACTGTGGCCCAAAAATACCTCTTAATTTTGTATAATAATGACCCGAAAGCACAAAAGTAGAGAAGCTGATAGTTCTTCAGTTATCACTGTTTCACTAATAGAAAGTCATGAAGTACTTCCCACCAGTGAAAAAAGTGATAATTCTCCACTTATTGTGCATAATTTATCAATTAAACTTTATAATAGGTATGTATAGGATTTATATACATATAAGGTTTGCTACTATCCACGGTTTTGGTATCCATGGTAGGTCCTTGGAACCTTCCCCTGCGGATACAGGGGTCCTACTGTATTTTTTTAGGTTAGCTTTAGTACTGTACTCACTTCCTCTTGTAACTTACTCTATTATTCTACCACTCTCAGAAGAACCTGCACTGTACAACTGTTTCCTCTCACACTACGACTTAGTTCATAGCTCTAGTCTCTTGTTAATACTGCTAAAAAATTTTTATTTTTTTCATATCCTTTGATAATCTTATACAGCCTTTTTAATTATGTGTTTGTAGTTAAGGGAGCATTTTTAATTTTTAAAGTTTGGCAGTTTTTAAAATTTCTAATGATTGCATATATACAGTGGTGCCTCTTCTTGGATCCACCACTCTTGTTACCCAGATATTCTCTAGTGACCCCTCAGGGCTCCTATTTTCACTACTGATCTCATGTTCTTCCTGTTAATGTTGCCCATATGTCTTTCATATCTATCTTCTATCATAAAAACAACCACAGAAAGGGTGGGGTTAGAGCCCATGGAGAGTGAATGGAAAAACTCCAGGCCAGTTTGTAAGCCACTGGGCCAGCTGGCTACAATAAGATTCATCCAACTAGGCATATTTATACCTATTTATATCTTCTATCAGTTTTTCTTGTTCTATGTAGAGTAGTTATGGTTGTCATGGCTCATTTTTACCTTCTGTAAGCAAATGGTTATATTTTCAATGTTTCTAATCTTTCTTCATAACTTGTATCACTTAGCTTTATTGACCATGTTGTGTCATGTCTACACTTTGTTTATTTTATTAAAAAAAAAGTTGGGTGCATTTACGGTAGTGTATCCTTTGATGACAATATGAAGAGTGTACTTATGAAAGTATTTCAGGATTGTACTTTATGCAATACATAATGTTTCTCATGCCTACTTACTGTGCTTCACTACTACAGTACATACTGTCCTTCCCTAGTACAGTACATACTATCCTTCACTACTACAGTACATGCTGTCCTTCACTAGTACAGTACATACTGTCCTTCACTAGTACAGTACATACTGTCCTTCACTACTACAGTACATACTGTCCTTCACTACTACAGTACATACTGTCCTTCACTACTACAGTACATACTGTCCTTCACTACTACAGTACATACTATCCTTCACTACTACAGTACATACTATCCTTCACTACTACAGTACATACTGTCCTTCACTAGTACAGTACATACTGTCCTTCACTACTACAGTACATACTGTCCTTTACCTCTGCATACAAAAATATTTAGGCAAAGAAACAAACCAAAGGAAGAAATAGGTTAAACAAAAAGAAAAATGCTTAGTTACATGACAATGGAAGACAAGTATTGTACAGACCAGGGTTGAACCTACTACAGTTTATAGAACAATCATTTGTGAAAGGAAAACAAATATGTACAGTAAGTGCTCTATAAGATAGCACAGTACCAGTGGTACAAAGAAAGCTCAATACCCCAAGCTTTTCAGATGGTAAACTCTCCCACGTTTTTCCTAACAGTGAAGGTTTAAAAATACTTAAAGGAAAGTTAACTATATAAGTGGACTCCTCACAGAAGCAGCACTATAGAACTTTTACGGAAAATTATATAAAGGATGTTTTGGACAGTGAGATATGGGCCCATAATTATAATATACAGTGTATGGAAGTAATATAAAAGCCACAGGGAGTAGGTAGGTACCTATGTCAGACACTCGCTTTACTATACAAAAGACAACCAAAACGCAGATGTGATTTACACAGATTTTGCAAAGGCGTTTGACAAATGCGATCATGGAGTGATAGTGCACAAAATGAAAGCCATGGGCATTACGGGGAAGTTAGGTAGATGGATTTTCGGTTTCCTAACACAGAACACAAAAAGTAGTAGTTAACAGGGCAAGATCCAGCATCAGCGAGGGCAAAAGCTCAGTGCCCCAAGGCACTGTCCTGGCACCTCTGCTGTTTCTCATCCTCATAGCAGACATAGACAAAAACACCTGGCACACTTTTGTATCATCATTTGCAGATGACACTAAAATAAGCATGAAAGTCAGGACCCCAATGGAAATAAGTCACTCTGTCTGACTTTTTTGGGTTATCCTAGGTTCTCTACACATATGCTGCTATGTATGATAATTCTATGTAACTGTATTTGTGTATACCTGAATAAACTTACTTACTTACTTACTTACGGTACAGGACACTGAAAAAGTATAAGAAGACATAAACAGGGTTTTCCAGTGGGCAGTGGAAAACAGCATGACATTCAATGGTGATAAGTTCCAGCTGCTTAGGTATGGAAAGAATGAAGAACTCAAAAGGAGCACTATATACAAAACTCAAGAGGGTCACCAAATAGAACATAAGGAACACTTAAAAGACCTAGGAATAATTATGTCAGCAGACCTTTCTTTTAAAGACCATAACAAGACAAAGATCATGACAGCCAGGAAGATGATGGGGGGGTATTGAGAACTTTAAAACAAGGGAAATAATGCCGATGGTGACACTCTTCAAATCGCTAGTGCTCCCTCGCTTAGAATATTGCTCAGAGCTGATGGCCCTGATCAAGGCAGGAGAAATATCTGAGCTGGAACAAATACAGAGATCGTTTACTGCTCACATTGAGCCAGTAAAGCACCTGAACTACTGGGAATGCCTGCAAGTCTTGAACATGTATTCATTGGAGCGGAGGAGAGAGAGGTACATGATAATATATACCTGGAAGGGTACTCGAGGGCCTGGTCCCAAATCTGCACGCTGCCATAACAACATACTGGAGTAAGAGAGATGGGAGGAAGTGTAAAATAAACCCAGTGAGGAGCAGGGGTGCGGTGGGGACAATAAAGGAACACTGTATCAACATCTGGGGTCCCAGACTATGCAACATCTTACCAGAAGATATCAGAAACACTGCTGGAACCAGTGTAGAAGCCTTCAAGAGGAAACTGGACAAGTATCTTCACCAGGTGCCAGATCAACCAGGCTGTGATGGATATGTGGGGCAGCAACAGCCTGGTTGACCAGGCAAGCACCAGACGAGCCTGGCCCATGGCCAGAGAGTAGATAAACTCTTTGAAACTCTTCAAAGGTAAAGTAATTCAAAGGTATCAGATGATACAAAGGAAGTATGTACTAGGTATGAAAGTTGAGAAGAAGAAGAATTTGGTAATTCTAATTCTTAAGAATAAAGATGCACCCTGCATTTAAAATACCATCAGCAATGGCAGAGGAATTCACAGATCAGACAAGGAAGATACATACATACCTCCTTTGTTTTAGAGTCTTGAAAATTCCATCACAGAATATTGTCTTCCTTGGAGAGCTCTACCTTCAAAATATAAAATGGCAGATGATAGACACCAGCATTATACCAGAAGTAGCATCTGGAAGCACATTAGCCCAACAGATACATATCAGAGAGTTATTGGAACTCTACAAAAAGTTTGCTTTGAGCTAACAGATAACAGAACCAGTGGTAGTAGAAGTGGAAATACACTAAATTTGATCTTCATGAACACTGAGAAACTAATCAGAGATACAATCTCAAATACAATGTACTCCTAGATTTGATCTTCACAAACACTGAGAAAAACTAATCAGAGATACAATCTCGAATACAATGTACTCCTAGATTTGATTTTCACGAACACTGAGAAACTAATCAGATACAATCTTGAATACAATGCACTCTGATTAGAATCTCACTAAAGGAGAGATGAGCATAAATCCATACATGGATAACCTAAGAAATAGCCTGCATGAAGGGATCTTCTGAAATTCTAATTTCAACATTCGGAGAATTGAATGGGACAAAGCAAACAAATAATTATCATACATTCTCTAGGAAATGATCCTGAGCCCCTTAACCCATTCACTGTCTCACACGTAGATGTACGTTATTGATGCCAGCATCGCTCATGTAGATATATGTTTTGAGCTCATCTCCCTCAGGTAAGCTGTGAGTGGTAAATTTTGGCCTAGATATGAGAAAATGGGTCTGTTTGATGAGTGTGCACAGTATAAGAAAAAATCCTGCCCCACATGGTGCATGATAGGAAAAGTAAATTTCAGACCATGTGTTTGATTTAACCCTTTGACTGTTTCAGTCGTATATACACGTGTTATGAGCCAATGTTTTTGACGTATTAATATACATAAATTCTAGCGGCTTCAAATCAAGCGGGAGAAAGCTGGTAGGCCTACATGTGAGAGAATGGGTGTGTGCAGTATGAAAAATAATCAGGGACTCAGTGGTGCATTGTGGGAATGCCATTTTAGTAGTCCTTGTTCACGATGCCTCGCCGAATTTGTGGTCTTCTGTTCCCAAGTAATGGTTCTGACAGCGATGTAAGTGCCAGTGGAAGTGAATTCCATGGTTTTCAGGAGGATGTGACCGAAAGCGGTGCCCAGGATAACGTAATTAGTAATGAAAACCCAGACAACCCACATTTGCCTGTACCAGGATGAAAGAGGAAACTATTTCCCTATGTACAGGACT